TGCAGTAGCAAAGATCAGGTCGTCTACTTAGACAAGGATGTAGAACGGGGTCTTGCCAGAACGAAAGAAAAGCGAGGGGTCTACAGACGACGGGAAGAACTGCAGGTCAGCTAACATAGCATGCAGCATATCGTGCTACTCACGGGGCGCCTGCCGCAGGCCGTAAACCGGACGCCAGAGGAGCCACTCGGTACAAGGGGCGAAGGTGCCGGTGAAGCCGGGCGAACGACACAAGTAGACCGGCTCGTGCAGACTACCCTGGAGAAACGCTGTAGAGAAGTCAAGAGAGTGCAGCTCCTAGTCATGATGTACTTCTACGTGTAGCAGTGCCCAAAGAGTGGACATCTTTGGGGGTCGGGGCGAAGGTCTGAAAGAAGTGAACACCCTCACGCTGACTAAGGCCTCTAGCCTAGTAGCGCACCTTGAATACCGGCGGCTCTCCGGGAGGGCGCTTCACCTTGAAGAGCCACCAGCCATCGACTATGTTTACCGTAGGTGGGTGAACTACGTCGACGTACAGGGTTCCAAGGGGGCCTCAACGTAAGTGTGAGGGGCCAGGACGTCAAGGGCGTCTGCGTCACCCTCAGGGACTAGTAGCATGGAGCAGAGATGAGGAGCAATCTCGGACCGGAAAACGAGCTCGTACTGCCGGTCCTCCAGTACCTCATTGACGCGGGCAGGAGCGTCCTCGACGGACGGAGGACGGGCACAGTCAGAGACCAGAGCAATGGCGTAGTCAAGGCTGCAAGTTGAGGCAAAGTCAGCGATGGCAGCGACAAGAGCGTGAAGACTCGAGACAGGAACAGACGGGTCAGTAACGAGGGAGGCAAGGTCTCGAGGAACAAGGGGACTAGGGGCACGAAGGATGTCTGACAGAGGAGGCGGAGCGACAACAAGCGACGACGGAGGAGGCGACGGGAGGATGAGAGGACGAGATGCGTGGGAACGAAGCAACATAGGGTAAGAACGCTGGGCAGGGGAGACAGGACGAGCACGATAGTAACCCCAAGACTAGCACCACCAGAACCAGCACCCCTAGAACGAGAACCCTCTCCAGCACCGGTGCCACCTCTAGGACCGCCGGGACAAGCTACGACAGTAACCCCAGGACTAGCACCCTCCTCAACGCTTGCACTGCCAGAGCTCGTGGACCCCAGCGGTGGATGCTGCTACAGCGGCGGTGACTGCAGTTGCTGCTACCGCTGCGACGGTGGGGATGGCTGCTGCTGCTGCGGCGGCAATGGCGGCTGCTGCTGCGATGGCGGAGGAGGAGATACCGGGGCAGAGATAGGCGGCAAGAATGAAACCGCAAGGCCACCAGAGTCAGCCGACTCCTCTACCGGGACATCCGATGGGAGGGGAGTGACGTGAGACACACCTGAAAGGGCATGATAGGGAGGGAGAGAAGCAGGGGCTGCCGAGGGAGTGGGAACCAGAAACAGGGGCGGGAAAATTGCGAGACCTTGGTGGGGAAAGCGGTGGTAGAAGGAGACAGACTCGTCAAAAGTGACGCCACGCGAGTGAAACAAACGGTGAGACGGCGGGTGATAAAAGTGCCAGTCAAATGCTTCGAGGGGGAAGCCAAGGAAGACACAGGGGATAGTGCGGGCAGTGAGCTTGTCCATGCCATAGGCACAAATGTGAGTGAGGCAGCCCCAGACGTTGAACGCTTACGCGTTACTAGGGGACCCGGTCCAGAGGAGGGTAGGCGAAACCTGCGGCCACTGGGAGTGTAGCCACAGGTTAAGCTGGTGAGCGGCGTAGCGAACAGCGAACAGCCACAGAAAATAGGGTGCACCGGCATGGATTATGGATGTACGAGCCGCCTCCATGACCGAACCGATGCGTCGCTCAGCGACCCCATTCTGCTACGGGGAGTCTGGCAGGGTGTACGAATGGGTGATGCCCTCCGCACGATAGAAATGGCCAAGCCGACCAGAGGCGAGCTCGGTGCCACGGTCGGAGTGAAGATGCAGCACATGGAAGCCGTGGTGGACTCGCGCAGCTACGACCCACGGGATAAGCACGTCAGGCACGTCGGCCTTCCGCTCCACGGGAAACACCATGGTGTAGCGCGTGTAGTCTTCAACAAGCACTAAAAAGTGGCGCTCTTGACGCGGCCCAGGGACGGGGGATGGGCCCCAGATGTCCAGGTGCAGGGTCTGAAGTGACGCAGAGATAGGGGGAAGCAAGGAGGAGTGAGGAGCATGGCGCAGGCGGCCCTCGACACAAGGTGTGCATGGCGGCGCAGGCGAGGGAGGGAGAGCAAGGAGCGACGAAGGGAGGTGAAGGAACATCTTGTCGTTTTACGCCAAACCCTCGCCTACGCTCTCCAACGCTTCTTGAATTTAATGCATCTGTATCTATGCGACATCAGCATAGAGCGGATCGACGACAATTGCCTACTTCAGCTTGCCTCGTCTTGCCTGAAGTTGACGGCTCTGCACGTGGGAGTTGGGATGAACTTGTCTTATTACTTAGCTTGTTATAAGTCCGGGCACCCTGTGACCGAGGCTGGGCTGGACTTTTTCTTCAGCCAGAGCACTCAACTTGAGCATCTCGCTCTCTACTACTTGCACAGAGATACCATACTGTCGGTTTCCTTCTTCCACCTCTCGCGTCTGCGCACTCTTGCGCTGACCGCCGCCTCAGCATTAGACGCTCCTAAATTCAAGAATCTCTCTTCCCTTGCAACTCTCACCATCGACATCGAGCTGCATTATTCGAGTTATCGCCAGCTTTCCAGCCTCGTCCAACTCCGCTGTCTCACCCACCTCTCGTTTCGCAACCACACCCGCCTATTTCCAACCCGCCAGTGCCACCTGCGTCTATCCCGCCAGTGCTCCCCCTTATTCTCCTTTGCTCAGCTTCCATCTCTTCAATCGCTTGAGTTGGGCTCACAATGCTCAGACCTCCAATTCGACCTCATGTTTCCGCCTGGGTCTCGAGCGGCTGCTAATCGTCACCTGTGATCAACACTACCCCCTCCCTGATGACTTGGGGGAGCGACTGCCCTGTCTTCGAAAGCTGAGTCTCGGCCAAGAGAAGCATCTTCATCGATGGCCTTTGGAATTCACCTCCCTAAGCTGCTTGCAGAGCTTTAAGATCTTCGAGTGCAAGATCCGCAACCTGCCCATAAATTTTGGCGAGCTGCCCGTACTGGACACGTTGGTGCTACACATGCTTCCTCTCATGGGCCTCCCTGACTCTCTCACCGAATTCACGGCCCTGGAGACGCTGTTTGCGTTTGGTTGCAAGGGGATTCGCGAGCTTCCTGCAGGTTTTGGTGACCTCACAGGCCTCAAGTCGCTGTGCCTTGTGGAATCGCCTCGCCTCAAGCTTCCAGACGAGATTGGCAAACTCACCAACCTTCACACCTTCCTCCTGACTGACAACATGGCACATCAGCTGCTCCCTTTCTCCTTCACCCAGCTCTCCTCCCTCACGAGGCTTGAGCTCAACAACTATGCGCTAGCTGGGCTGCCAGAGGGAATAGTGGCGCTAAGTCACCTGCAGCAGCTGTACCTCCTCTCCTGCCATGCCATCAGGGAGCTCTCGGATTCCCTCACAGCGTATCTGAACCTCGAAATTCTCTTGAGTACAGAATTGCTTTACCTTCGGTCGGTGCCCAGGAGGCTAGATAGCCTTACCAGGCTGGAGCTGGGCAGGTGTGAGCTGCTAGAGGCACTTCCAGCATCCTTGCCATCGTCACTTGAGGTTCTAAGGGTTGGGAACGGTCAACGGGTAACTCGGCTGCCCAAAATCTGCATGCTGCAGAGGCTGAGGAAGCTGAGCCTCCGCCATGTTTCTACCACGCGAAGACTGGCCGATAGCAGGAGCCTACCTGGTTTGCGGCACTTGGAGCTGGTGCTGGCTGAAGATGCAGAGAAGCTTCCATGTTTCATGACTTACCTTTCTCACCTCCGCACCTTGACAATTGAACGCGGTTGTACGGGCTTGAAGAGGCTCCTGAGAGACATCGACTCTGCTTTGGCACAGCTGCGGCAGCTGCACATATATTGGGCTGCTGGATTGACAGAGTTGCCACAGAGTGTGACACAGCTTCATCTTCTGACGTCCTTGGAAATCCATGCACCCAAGTTGGATTCCCTCCCTGACGGCATCGGTGCACTCAGCAGATTGCGCGAGCTGAATTTGTCCAACTGCTCAGACCTTTTGTTCCTCCCCGCTTCGCTCACCAAGCTTTCCTGCCTGCATCACCTAGATATATCTTGTACAGCCATCTCCTCCCTTTCTCCCTGCTTCGTGCACTTAACCAGATTCAAGAGTCACAATCTGAGTGAATGTAAGGAGTTGAAGAAGCTCCCCACTGATTTCAGAAGGCTCAAGCTGTTGGAAAGACTAGGTGTTAGTGGATGTGGATGTGATAAGGATAGAAGGTATAAAATACCCTCTGGGATCGGTAGGATGTAAGGGTTGATGGTTGATAGCTAGGATGTTCCTCAATTTCAATACACGAATTTGTAAGGAGGTATGGGTTTCAATGGGGAGTTGAGCTACAGACGCAGTGGTTCAGTGCTTGTTCGCGTTATTGAGCTACGCATGGGCGCTATTGTCTCTGGTATGCTCATTTTCGCACAGGGCCACATGTCAACCAGTTTTGCCACCTGCAGCTTCTGCATTCGTTGAAACTTAGCCTCACGCAAATTCGCCACGTCAACTTCTGTGGCATCCACGCCATCCACTCGGGACTCAATTTGCTGTTTCCCCGTCTTCCAATCAACGCAAAAATAATCCGGACCGCACCATCCAATTGCAGGTTTCGGCTGACGCTGGCCGTTGGGGAGATTCCCAAGGCTGGGCTTGTTATTGCTTGTCTGGCACGAGGAGATGCTGGCCTGACCCGAGTGCTTGTGGTGATGTGAAGGTGCCGTACCGTACTGTATTGCGCTAAATGATTTGTGAACCGCATTGTAACGCGTCGTAGTTGACAGTGACCTCTGCACCTGCTCTCCCTGGCCTCTGACATTCCAGCTGAGTTATCTCCGGGACACCCTTCATACTGGTATAATCTTCGGGGAGTTCTTACAGATTTCTCAGCGTTTTCCTGCAGTGCCTGGACGAGGGGAACTGCTCGTGTTGCTGGTTGCGACTTTCCGTGTTGGATCAAGCTCGCTGTCAATACGGCTGATCGGAAGGTTTCAACTTCGGGAGTTTTTGTGTCACTGGGACGGATAGCCCGCCATGGCTGCTGCCAGCCTGTCTCGGCAACGCCACCCCGTCCGACTCCTCGCTGCCAGGCTTTGCACCGGCCTCCCGTCTCTAGCTGCGTCGCAGCCGGCCACGTCAGCGCCAGGTCAACTTCCCCCAACTGTTTCTTTCTCTACCGCTAGCGCAGTCACGCCAGCTCCTGCGGCGGGCGGCGCGAGCCCGAGCGCGCCGAGCCGTGCCGGGCCGCAGCTGCCGGCGTTCGACCACGTGCCGGCGCCGTACACGGGGCCGCGCGCGGAGGAGGTGCTGAGGAAGCGGAAGCAGTTCCTCAACCCCGCCATCTTCGCCTACTACAAGAAACCCGTACGCTTTGTATTTGCGTTCCCCCCCCCTCTCTCCCCCCCTTCTTCCCCCTCTCTCGCCTCTCCCCCCTCAACCCCGCCATCTTCTCTTACTACAAGAAAGCGGTTCTCGGCTGAGAACGCCTCCTTTCAGCTCCGATTTCGGCTGCCCTCTATTTCCACCGGCGCTCCTGCCTGATCGTCTCCCCGTCACCTCTGCCTCTCCGCTTCCTCCTCTTCTCCTCCCCCCCTTCCCCTTGCCGTGCTCCCATATGAGCACGCGATAGTAACGCGCTCCCATGGTCTCTCGCACTGCCAGCCGCAAGGAGAGGAGGGCCGGATGCAGTCTCTCATGCGACGAGGACGCTCGCAGTTACTGCTCCGCATGCATCACACCATCCCCGTCCTCCCCCTCCCTCCCGCGCTCTCTGTTTCCCCCGTCAGTTGCAAGTCGTGGAGGGCAGCATGCAGTACCTGCACGACGAGGGCGGTTAACTGATTCACATTCATTCATCAGATTCTGCCTAGTTCCGTGTCTTCCTCCCCTTCTGTCAGTTGCAAGTCGTGGACGGTCGCATGCAGTATCTGTGCGACGAGGGCAGTCGGCGGTATCTGGACGCGCACTCAGACGGTCCACTCCGCACCCGCTTTCTCTCTCCCCGTCCTTCCCTCCCCTCCCCCCCTCACCGCGCCCCCCTCTCCCGTCCTTGTACTAGCTGCACGCGGTGGAGGGCAGCAATGCAGTAACTGAACGACGAGGATGGCCGGCGGCATCAGATGTGCCGATGCCTTCCCCAGCGCCTTCCTTCTCTCCACGCCCCCCCTCTCCCTCCCGCTACCACTTGCGAGTGATGGACGGTCGCACGCAGTACCTGTGCGACGAGGACGGTCATCGCTACCTGATGTGCCAATACGAGCCCACCCCTTTGCTTTCTGCTCCACACACCCCCCCTTTCCCTCCCCCCTCCTCTCTCGCCCCCGTTACCAGCTGCAAGTGGTGGAGGGCCGTATGCAGTACCTGTACGACGAGGACGGGCGGCGGTATTTGGACGCGTTCGCGGGCATTGTGACGGTGTCGGTGGGCCACTGCCACCCCGCGTTCGTGGCGGCTGTAGCGAGGCAGAACGCGCTGCTGCAGCACACCACGAGCATCTACCTCAACCACCACATCGCGGAATATGCTGAAGAGCTGGCCGCTAAGATGCCGGGCAACTTGAAGGTACGTGGCACAGTTTTGCCAGTTTCTACCTCCACCACCACTCATACCGCTCACCACCACTCATACCGCTCACCACCACTCATACCTCTCACCACCACCCATGCCTCTACCCCGCGCCCACCCTCCTCCCCCCTGACCCCCATTTCCCTTGAGATGGTATACTTTGTGAACTCGCGCACCATGGGATAACTGCTTACACACCGCTGCCATGCTCCTTTGTCTCACTCCCCCGCTCCCCCCCTCCCTCGCTCTCTCCCCCGTGCGGCGCGCCCCTTCAGAGTGTCTACTTCGTGAACTCGGGCTCCGAGGCGAACGACATGGCGTTGACCATGGCCCGCCTGTACACGGGCAACTATGACGTGGTGGCTCTGCGCAACGCATACCACGGCATGTCGCCCGCCACCATGGGGCTCACTGCCCACAGCACGTGGAAGTTCAACCTTCCCCAGGTGCGTGCTGCACATGGCACGCAAAAGCACACCCAAAGTGCGGTTTGCCCATGGCAAGTGGTTGGACTGGCAGTGGTCATGTCTGTTGACAGGGCTCAGTGCAACGCACACCACGGCATGTCCCCTGCCGCCAAGGGGCTCACTGCACACAGCACGTGGAAGTCCAACGTTTTCCAGGTGCGTGGCACAGCAGATTTAACCTGCCCCAGGTGGGTACGATCCTCAGCACGCGGGAAATAGAGCTCGGTCCAAACGCAACGCATACATCCTGTGGCCATCTTGCAGACGGGGGTGCGTGCTTGCTGGCGCTACTCTATGCCTCTCACCTCCCTCGCCCCCTCCCTCCTCACCGCTATTGAGAGTTCCGAAAACGAGTCTCTCTGCTTTCTCACCGCCCTCCGTGCTCCTCCAAGGACCTTCAATCGCGTCCTTATTCCCAAATGCACCACCATCGTGTGCCGCCCACCATACAGCCGGGCAAGAAAATGATTTTAGGAAAAGACGCTCCACAGTCAAAAGGATCCCGCTCTTCTCGTCCTTAGTGTTCTCCTCAGTCTCCCATTCCACCCCAATCTCCCCACACCCTCAACCCTGACCCTTACAGGGAAGTTGTCGGCGCTGCTGGCGATGTCTTAGGGGCACCTCAGAAGTTCTCGTCCTCTCTCCCCCCTCCTCTCTTCCCCCTCCTCTCTTCCCCCTCAATCCAGGGTTTTAGCATTCATGGCGTTGTCAACCGTGACCCGTACAGGTTGCTGTTTTGCGTGGGCACCGACTTAGAGCGCCTTTGAAAGTACTCTTCCTCCTTTTCCCTCCTCCCCCTCCCTTCCGTTCAGGGCTCTGCCATCCACCATGCTCTCAACCCCGATCCCTACAGGGGGGGTGTTTGGTGCTGATGCTGGTTCAATCAAAGAGATCCCCCTATTCCCCTTTCCCCCCACCCACCTCTTCCCTCCCCTCCCCTACTGCTTCTCCTTTCCTCCAGGGCTTTGGCATCCACCATGCAGTCAACCCTGATCCCTACAGGGGCGTGTTTGGTGCTGACGCAACAAAGTACGCTGCTGACGTGGACGACCTTATCCGCTCGTCCACGTCAGGCCGTGTGGCCGGCTTCATTGCGGAGACCATTCAGGGGGTGGGCGGCACAGTGCCTCTGACACGTGGCTATCTGCCATTGGTGTACGAGTCTATAAGAGCAGCAGGGGGCGTGTGCATTGCAGACGAGGTGCAGACGGGGTTTGGGCGCACGGGGTCGCACTACTGGGGGTTCGAGACGCAGGGGGTGACTCCAGACATCGTCACCATGGCCAAGGTACGTGAGTATGAGAGGTATGTGAGACAGCAAGGGGTTTGTGCATGAGGGGAGTTGGGTTTGTGCATGAGGGGTGTTGGGTTTGTGCAGTGTGCATGAGGGGAGTTGGGTTTGTGCAGTGTGCATGAGGGGAGTTGGGTTTGTGCAGTGTGCATGAGGGGAGTTGGGTTTGTGCAGTGTGCATGAGGGGAGTTGGGTTTGTGCAGTGTGCATGAGGGGAGTTGGGTTTGTGCAGTGTGCATGAGGGGAGTTGGGTTTGTGCAGTGTGCATGAGGGGAGTTGGGTTTGTGCAGTGTGCATGAGGGGAGTTGGGTTTGTGCAGTGTGCATGAGGGGAGTTGGGTTTGTGCAGTGTGCATGAGGGGAGTTGGGTTTGTGCAGTGTGCATGAGGGGAGTTGGGTTTGTGCAGTGTGCATGAGGGGAGTTGGGTTTGTGCAGTGTGCATGAGGGGAGTTGGGTTTGTGCAGTGTGCATGAGGGGAGTTGGGTTTGTGCAGTGTGCATGAGGGGAGTTGGGTTTGTGCAGTGTGCATGAGGGGAGTTGGGTTTGTGCAGTGTGCATGAGGGGAGTTGGGTTTGTGCAGTGTGCATGAGGGGATTTGGGCGCGGCCTTGGGTAATAGCCCTGGTCGTGAGACGTTTAAGCGCATAAAAAGACCCATTCTGCCCACCTCACCCATCCCTCCCACTGCAACCTGTTGGTATGAGCAGTGCTGCCTTTGTTAGAATGAAGCTTATCTTCCCCGTGCCTCCCCACCTCCCCCACAGGGCATCGGCAACGGCTTGCCGCTAGCAGCGGTGGTAACCACCCCGGAGATCGCAGCGGTGATGGCGCAGCGGCTGCACTTCAACACGTTTGGCGGCAACCCTGTGAGCTGCGCTGGTGGCAGGGCAGTGCTGCGCATCATCGAGGAGGAGGGGCTGCAGGGGAACTGCGCTCATGTGGGCGGCCACCTCATGCACAGGCTGCAGGGGCTGAGGGAGAAACATGAGGGTGAGTGGTGGGCGAGTGAGGGAGTGGGAGGCGATGGCGCGCATCACTCAGCGGGAGGGGCGGCAGGGGAACTGCGCTGATGAGAGGCCCTCCTGATGGAGAAGCTGCAGGGGCTCAAGACGAAGCATGAGGGTGAGCTGGCGGGGGATGGTTAAGTGAGGGAGGGAGGCACGAGTGGGGTTCACGGCAACTGCGCTGGTGCGGGGGCCTACTGAGGGAGAAGCTGCAGGGGCTGCAGTGGAGGCAGGAGGTTGAGTTAGTGGGTGCGTGGGCAAAACAGGTGCGCCATGCGAACGCAGGGCGAGGCACCTTGGCGAGAGGAGCAGGTCTGGTGCTGGGGGGAGTAGGTCGCAGACAGGGCAGCCGGGACTCTTTCCCCTCCTCCACCGTGCTCGTTCCAACCCCACCCCACGCAACAGTGATCGGCGACCTGAGGGGGCAAGGGCTCATGCTGGGGGTGGAGCTGGTGACAGGCAGGGCAGCTTAGGGCGTGGTGCTGTGAGTTGCGCTTAGAAAGTTGCGCAACTAGTTGCTGTTTTAGCGAAAGAAATCCGACATACGCAACTGGTACATCAGCTGCGCAACTGGTACATCAGCTGCGCAACTGGTACATCAGCTGCGCAACTGGTACATCAGTTGCGCAACTCGGCCGACTTGTGCAACTGGCCTGGTACATCGAGTTGCGCTTGGGGTTTTGAAACCCAAGTGTGAAAGTTCAAACCCCCTCAGCCGCTCAGCGGGGGTTCGTGCTCTTCACTTGGCGCAAGTTGCGTAGGACGGGTGTTCAAGGGGTTTCGGGTTGTGCAACCCGAGTTGTGGTTCGTGGTTGGCCATGGAAACCCCAGTTGCGCAACTTTCAGGCAGGCTTTCGCTAAGTGGTTTGCCGAATTTCACGAAAGGGGTAACCTGGCTGAGTTGTGTAACTCTAAGCACCACACCCTTAGCCTCATGTGTGCCATGCTTGCTTGCTGGACCGTCCCTGCCCTTGCACGTTGACTCTCTTTTCCCAGTGATCGGAGACGCTAGGGGAGCGGGTTTAATGCTGGGGGGTGAAACTGGTGGCAGACAGGGCGGCCATGACTCTCTAGCTTCATTTCTCCCTCCCCCTTTCGACCGTGCTCGTTCCAACCCCAACCAACAGTGATCGGAGACGTCAGGGGAGCAGGTCTAATGCTGGGGGTGGAGCTGGTGACAGACAGGGTGGCCAAGACTCCCGCCAAGGCAGAGACGCTGCAAGCATTCGAGCGCCTCAAAGGTGACGTGGGCATTTGAGAAACGGATGGAGGGGGGCCTCCCATGAGGGGTCCAGCGCTGCTCTTTAGAGTCGAATCAGAGGCAGAGAGGCAGTGCTGGGCGGTGGGAGACGAGTGGCAGGCAAGAGGTGGAGTGGGCTTGTGATTGTGGGGAGGTGGGGAGCAGGGCCTCAAGGAACGAGGGTAGTATGGCAGGTACCTTTTAGTGTTCGTTGCACACGTGACGGTTGTGCACTTTCCACTGCCCTGCCTTGGGCCATCCTGTGAGTGCTGCTGCGTAAGGGAGGTTGGCAAGGACAAACAACCTCCTTTTTTCACGTTCTTCCCCCATTTTTTGCGAGCGCAGCAGACCTGGGAGTGCTGGTGGGTGAGGGAGGGCACATGAAAGAATGAACCTCATCATTTGCCTCATGCTCTCCCCCCCATCCATTGCATGCGGCAGACCTGGGAGTGCTGGTGGGTGAGGGAGGGCACATGAAAGAATGAACCTCATCATTTGCCTCATGCTCTCCCCCCCATCCATTGCATGCGGCAGACCTGGGAGTGCTGGTGGGTGAGGGAGGGCACATGAAAGAATGAACCTCATCATTTGCCTCATGCTCTCCCCCCCATCCATTGCATGCGGCAGACCTGGGAGTGCTGGTGGGTGAGGGAGGGCACATGAAAGAATGAACCTCATCATTTGCCTCATGCTCTCCCCCCCATCCATTGCATGCGGCAGACCTGGGAGTGCTGGTGGGTGAGGGAGGGCACATGAAAGAATGAACCTCATCATTTGCCTCATGCTCTCCCCCCAATCCATTGCATGCGGCAGACCTGGGAGTGCTGGTGGGCAAGGGCGGGTACCATGGGAATGTGTTCCGTATCAAACCGCCCATGTGCTTCACCAAGGCAGATGCAGGTATGGACCTGCCAAGGCTGATGCAGGTATGGATTTACCGAGGCTGATCTAGGGCTGCGATTAGAGTTGCTCCACACACGATCCTCCTAATTCCACCACATGGTGCACTGCCACACATGGGTAGGAAGTTTGGGTGCAGTGCATGCACGTGGATGCTTCACTTCTGATATGCCTGTATCAGCCTATTCACATAGTAGCACATCCCTCCTAAACTGTTATGTGCATGCATGCTCCTGTCGTCTCCAAAAGTCCTGGCTCCCATGCACTGCTACTCGGTTCATCCATCCACTTCTGCCGTGCATTCTCCTCGTCTCTCGTCCTTGCCTTTTTCATATCTCAGATTGTCTCTCACGTGTAGTTGTTCCACCCTTGCGGCCTTGCCGTCCCCTCTGATTGCAGACTTCCTCGTGGACTGCTTGGACTTGGCGCTCTCAGAACTCTAGTCAGAATGCTGGCTTCGTGGCCAACAAAATCCTTGGAATTGACATATGTTTTCTCCCCGAGTACATGACACGTCTCATCGATGCACCACCATGCCAATCATTGTACATTCTCACCATGTCATATTCTCTTGTACACTTGTCACAAACACGAGCCTCTAAACATATTCCAACACTAGGCAATACGCAATAAGCTACCAGTATCTGTCAAGCTTGTGACAGAGAAAGTTGCACAGGTAGCACATACTACACACTCAGCTATGCACATAACACAAACACATGTTTAGACAACATGAATTTTAAACGGAGACTGAATGTTTTAGGCAGATGTCCTTCACAGATGTCATGACCGAACTTCGATGCTCATAGGTATACTGTAGCGAGCAGTTTTGGCATGTTTGTTTGTCATTACAACAAATCGTTGACTCACGCGTTGAACCTTGTCTACAAATTTCAACGATCAGTCAGTGGAGCTTCGCTTTCCAAGGCCCGGCATAGTTTTGGCAACCTTCGATTTGTCGTCATGTCGAGGCTCGGACTAGAGTCCAAAGGCTTCGCTCACACTATCCCAAATCAGCAACTTCCCGAACCAGTAGCGCAGTTTGACTCATGCCTTCCGAACCAGCATGTTGAGGCTCGGACTTGGAGCCATAGGCTTTCCTCATGCTTCGAACCAGTCACCAGTTTGACTCGTGCTTTCCGCCAGCTCGCCTTATTTCCTGCCTTGGCATAGCGACACTAGACTAGACCTATAATTAGCCCATTGCTCCGCCCTAACTCATCATCACACTCCACCGGCGTTTCCCCTCATTGAACCTACAGTCGTCTGCCTTCCGAGATTCCAAGTTAGTCCAGACTCCAGAGCATCAGTAGCACAAGAACCCACCTGATTTTCGTCATACATATTTTTCTGCACGGCATTCGCTATGGCGTTCAGAGCCCTCTTCCTCGCGTGCTTCCTTCTCCTCGCGGCGACGTCCGCCTTGGCGCAGCGTGGTCCGCCTGACGGAGGTCGTCCCGGCGGTCAGGGACCAGGGGGGGCGCGCGGAGGGCCTGGCGGTTCCGGCGGGCCTGGCGGACCTGGCGGTGAGCCGCGCGGTCCTCCGCTGAACCTGACGGTCGTCGGGAATCTGACGGCCGATATTGGCGCGCGACTGGCCAACTGCTCCGCGGACCAGAAGGTCCTTGACGGCCGCTTCCACCTCGCCATCTTCAAGTGAGCTTTCGTGCCTCCCCAAATAAAACCCTTATCCGTGATGCACTTTCCTACATCAGAGTGGCTTTCGCGCGCACCCCTCCCCTCCATTCGCACCAACCTAGCACCCGTCGTAGCACCCGTCGTAGCAGCACCTCGCTCTTTTGATCTCGAGCTCATTGCGCTTCCGTCCCCCACCCCCCACCCACCCCCCCCCCCCCCCCTCCGCGCCTTTTCTCAGAAACTCCTCCGGCAGCTACAACCTGCTGGTCCACGCGCTCCTCGTCGACGCCGCTGGCAGTCCGCCCGACTCGCTCGCGATCGTGCAGGGCGCCGCGTGCGACGCTGCCGCCACGCATCGGGAACAGACCCCTGGAGGATTTCAAGATCCTCGCATGTTGTTCGGGGCTGGATACGGTTTCCTGCAGGGATTTTGGTGCTCGCAAGGTTCGGAGAGTGGTTTGGTTGTTAGACAGCGTGTTGCTTGGTTGTTGAATTACCGTAGCGTGCAGGCAACATTCCCAACCTGTTTTGTCCGCACGAAGATCGAGATCCGAAACTGTTTCAAGCGGCCCGAAAGTGTAAATGAGCTAATCACAGAACCCACTCAAGATAACATTCGCAATCGTGTGAATTCAAATTTGTGAGTATTTCAAAATTTCCCGAAACCGATGCGTGACTGTGCGTCGCAACTGAATGCCCGACTGTCACACATTTAGTATCAGTCGGTCGTTTTTTATTTTAAACCAGTACACTATTGATTCGTTCCATTCGTTTCATATAACATCCGATTTTGCCAGCCCAGGAAGATTAGCATATTAAAAATGTTAGCGTGATACAAACGCGATCACCAAACCAAAAAAACTGCAAAAACTACGTTAGGCAAATCATGCCAGCTAACATGCATGCTAAAACGCATAGAAGCACACTCAACTAGGGTCAAGATACATGCCCTCAATAACCTCTCCCACCAAGATGACCACTCCCTAAGCATCCTGCTCATCATCCTCATCATCAGTAACCACCTCATCAACATCCTCATCCAACTCATCCTCATCCCCAAGCACGTCAACATCCAGCTCCTCTTGCGGGATGTCGTTCCAACCAACAAGGCACACACGGCCAATCCCGATGTAGTTTCCCGTCCTCACCCCATGGCTATTGATCCAGCGCTGGAGAACACGGGCCTGCCTGGCCATTGCCTGAGAGTCGCCAGACCGCTCCAGCTGGAGCTTGCCGGCACCCGGGTGACGCAGCCTGAAACGAACCTGGAAAGCACAACAGGGGAAACACAGGTAGAGTCGAAATAGGTTCACACAACTGGTCTCTGAACTAGCGCTAGTTTGGGACAGGTTATACAGCACTCTTACCACTGCAAGTATCAGAAGGAGCTGCATAGGGTAGAGACCCATGGGACGACTAGGGTCATAGTGCTCGATGAAGAACTTCGCGCAGCCGACAAAGGCAACACTCGAGAGGGGTTCACCCAAAGTGACGTGCCACTCAATGCCCTTAAACTCTGCCACAGCAAGAGGGCAAGGGAGGAGTGAAATGCGGATTTTGAAGGCACGGGCAGCAACAGAGGCAGGCAACAAGGGAGGAGAAAGGAGAAGATTGGGTTTAGGTGCGTGCCATTCTGACATATGAGCCTCCTGAATCCACGCGGATTCAAGCAAAGGAGGCAAGGGCGGAGAACGTTGGGAGGGAAGGGAAGCAATGGACAATGGAAGCAAAGGAGGTCAGCATTGGGAGGGTAGGGAGGCAGAGGACAGCATTGTGAGGCAAGGGTGGCAAGGGAGGAACGAAATGGCTTTGAATGCGTGCACCCCTACCCGCCAATCCGACTTGTGAGTATCCTGCTTACACAGACTCAGGAGGTGAGGGGGACAAGGCAGGGGACCATGGGGAGGGATGGGAGGCAATGGAGGGAAGGGAAGGGAGGCAGGGGACGATGATAAGGGAGGAGAGAGTTGGGTTTGAATGCAAACACGCTCACTAGCCAATCTGTAAGCCTCCGGAATCCGGGGATTCGAGGCAAGGAAATAATTGGGGTTGAAGAGGCAAGGGAGGCAAGGGACAAGGGAGGCCAGGGAGGACAGAAAATTGAGGGACGGGAGGCAGGGGGGCAGGGGAGGGGAAAAGGGAGGGTTTAGGTGGTCTTGAGTTCAGCACCCTCACTTGCCAATGACCTGTCAGCATCTTGAACCCTCGCGGTTTCAGGAGGCGAGGGAGACAAGGGACAAGGGAGGTGTCGGAGAACCGCATTGCTTTGAATGCGGACCTGTAACCCTCCTCAATTCGCGAGGATTCAGGAGGCAAGGGAGGCAAGGGACGAGGACAAGGGAGGAGAGAGTTCAGTTTGAATGCCAACACCCTCACTTGACTGTGCGACCTGTAACCCTCCTCAGTTTGCGAGACTCCAGGAGACAAGGGAGGCAAGGGAGGACAAAATGGCGAAGGAAGAGAGGCAAGGAGGCAAGGGATGAGGACAAGGGAGGAGAGAGTTGGGTTTGAACGCAAGCACCCTCACTTGCCAAGGTGACCTATGATACTCTTCAATTCGTGGGGATTCAAGAGGCAAGGGAGGACAGAACTGGGAGGGAAGAGAGGCAAAGGAGGCAAGGGACAAGGGAGGACAGGGGAGGAGAGAGTTGGGTTTCAATGCAAGCACCCTCACTTTCCATTCCGGCATGTAAGCCTCCAGAATCCAGAGATTCAGGAGGCAAGGACAGAATTGGGTTCGAAAAGAGGCAAGGGACAAAGGAGGCCAGGGAGGACAGAAAAGTGAGGGACGGGAGGCAGGGGGGTAAGGGAGAGGAAAAGGGAGGACTGCAATGGTTTTGAGTTCAGCACCCTCAGTTGCCAATGGACTGTCAGCATCCTGTAGGCTTGCAAGGCAAGGGAAAACAGCATTGAAGGGGTAGAGAGGCAAGGGAGGCAAGGGAGGCAAGGGAGGAGGCAAGGAAGGAGGCAAGGGAGGCGGCAAGGGAGGCGGCAAGGGAGGAGGCAAGGGAGGCGGCAAGGGAGGCGGCAAGGGAGGAGGCAAGGGAGGCGGCAAGGGAGGCGGCAAGGGAGGAGGCAAGGGAGGAGGCAAGGGAGGCAAGGGAGGCAAGGGAGGCAAGGGAGGCAAGGGAGGACAGCATCAGGGGGAAGTGGAGTCTAGGGAGGGAAGGCAAGGGACAAGGCAGGACAAGGGACATGGGGGGACAGCATGCGCGGATTCAGGAGTCTTACTGGTCGAGTTCGCGTTCACATAGTTGCTGCAGCGGATTATGAAATCGAACGGCTCCCTCCACTTAAGTGTCCCTTCGGGACCACGCTTAGCAACCAGCAGCCTCATCGGAGCCTTGCGCAGTGCTTGCCTGCAGCCACTGTAGATCTTGCCAATGCGGTTGTTGAATCGGCGCTCCGTGGCAGTGATGATGTCGCGGTCCTTCATGAGAGCGATGAGCTTGACTGCATCCTCGGTGCCAAGCGTGAAACCTGCATTGGCTGCAGGTATGGAGACACAAGAACACCTAAGAAAACTGCTGGGTAAAAGGGAGGCCTCCGAATAAAACCAATGGTACTCACCAACAAGCCTCTCGACGAAAACGCTTCGCCTCGGAGAGAGGTTGAGGAGGTTGCCATCAAACAGGAGATCCCCGATGCTATCAGACATGACCCTCTGTTCACATGATTGAGGAAAGTGTTTCAAAGCTTAGCACACTCCAAAATAAACAGGGGAAAAAGGCATGGGAGAAACCGTCAAACCAGGACTTGCCAACGAGAAGGTAATATAAGCAACTCACCACAAAATCGATGCGGGCAAACCTGTCCATAAGGACGTGGTCAGCCAGGGTACTCGCGATGTCAAGTGCCCTTGCGATGTGGCCGTCCTTGGTTGCGCAAGCTTTCTTCAGCTCTTTCCCTTCCTCCTCCTGAACGGCACACCGCATGCGCAGTTCATCGTCGATTGGGGCTCCACGAGACGCCTCGTGAAACACAACAGCATCATCAGATGGGTCTGAACCAACAGTGTTGGTCATAACCCGGCCGAAAACCGTGGCACCAGCGCCTCCTGTGTAAGAGGGGGGACCAACACGGCAAGACAGTGCGTTAAGGGCAGCAGGGTAGGACAGCATTGGAGCAGGCGGGAGGCAAGGGACAAGAGGGTAGAGCATTGGGTAGTCATGTGTCCACCCTAACTTGCCAATTCGACCTGTACGGCAAGTGCGGACAGCAATGGGAGGGACGGGAGGGGCAATTTGCAATGGAGGAAGGGAGGCAGGGGACGAGGGACAGCCTTGGGTTTACGTGCAAAATCGTCGAAATGCCAGGTCTTTCGGGTTTTGAAAAGGTTGGACAGCAGCGAGCTAGGGAACAGAGAGGGGAAGGGGACGGGACAGAGAGGCAGGGGGACAGTCCAGCAGAGCGGATGGGAAGCGGCTGTGCAGGCGCCATCAGAACATGTTGGACAGCAGCGAGATTGGGGTGTTGGAGTAATGGCTGGTGCATGCAGGATCGGTGGGAGTAGGCAACGGAGAAGTGAGGGCAAGAGGAAATTGGGGGCAAGGGCGCTTGCAGGAGGGATAGTGTCAGGGACATACGGAAAAAGGATTGTGAACGAAAGGCACAAACAAGAATGGCATAATGAATATGGGCATGAACGCTGTGAGCGCTAGCACGCAGACGAGGGCTTACCTGGGTAAGATGCATGCACGGGCGACTGCAGCGACCTCGTGAAAAGGTCGTCGAAGTTGGTCTGTTCCGCCGCGGCGTCGAATGTTGACGTGGGTCCTGGCGGCACCTGATTGGGATTGGGTTCGGCGACGACAGTAGCAGTATTTAGGGTGGTTTTGTTTTGCTCCGGTGCAACGGAGCCAGCTTCGGTGGTAGCAACGTCTGGTGCGGATGCGGTTCCGTTGGTCCTTCCCGGGGTGCTGCGAGACGCGGCAAGAGATTGTGCCCCGCGCTTGAGGCCACGACGGGCAGTGGGAACTGCCGCAGCCAATGGGTCGTCTTGGTCGCCTGCGTGGCACAACAGGAAGCCAGATTTAGAAGGGGGGATGGGGATGGCGGAGTAAGCCAGAAGGCAAACCTAATCACAGAATACTAACCCTGCTGGGGGAAGCATTTGTGGTTAGTCTTGCTACAACGAGGTAGGGAAGTTCGAAGAGGTGCGGAAAGCTGCATAGAGGGAGGGACGGTGGCAGCGCCTTTGCGACCCATTTTTACACTCGGAAGTTGAGTGGGAGAGCTTTTCTGGAAAGTCTATGGCAACACTCCAACGCAGGTGAGCTTTATATCGAGAAACGACGTGGAGGTGCGGATGCAAGGTGAGAGCGTGTGCGGAGATTGCTCTCTCCCGTGCTCTGCAAACGAGAGGAATTACCTAAAGTGCGTAATCGTGCGCTCCTAGGTGGCGGGGCGCGGGTGATAATGGTGAGGGAAACAGAAACGGATCTAATGAAGTGCGACTTGGTTCACAGACACCAACCAAGGCACACGGGACGTGCCACGCTTTGAAGACCACGCAGGCTCGGAAATAGGGTTTTTAAGAGGACCCTAGCCACGGCCACTCGAACAAGCTTCACCTGAGTTTGAAGTTTCGAAGTTCAAAATTGAGAAACAGGCTTGGAGGAGGGATAAGGGTGGATGGGATGTGCGTGTGAGCAGGGTTGAGAATACAAGGGGGAAGCGGATAGCCCATCGGAGCGTTGCCACAGGCAGGCTGGGAGGAGGTTCGGGGACAGCGCAGCTGACACGTTCGACAGAGCCCACAATGACCAGGTGGGGGGGAGGTTTGGAGCACGACCGAGAGTGAGGGCCAGCAGCGTGCCGCGATCACTACGCTGCCAACGTAGCAGTTTTCGAGTGTACACCTCGGCTCGGTCAGTTCAAAATGTCAAGTCAAGAGCATTGAAGAACAAATATGTGCGGAAGTGTAGCGAGGGTTCTGGAATAAACTAGCAGAAACGGACAGCATAGGGCAGAAACTTGGCATCCTTGGGTGCGTGTCTCAGCTGGGTGGAGTGAATGACGGACTGTATTAGCGAGAGGAACCAAGTAGAGTCGGCATCGTGCGTTCACGAATCGAGATCAGGCAGGGTCCTCAACACACCCACCGGTAAAGTCTTGGTATCGGTTTTAGGCTTCTTGGGTTTCCTCTAAAGGGACCTGTAACGAATGACAAAACAAAAGTAACAATAAATGAATAGGGACGATTAAAGCACGACAATAAGTAGTGCTGCCAATACTAGGAGATAGAGCATCGTATATGTACACATTCAATAGGCTTACCTGCATCACCATTTAAACTCGTTCCAGAAGAAGCGTTCTGTCGCGATGGGAACCCTGCTCTCGTATGGGACTACGTGAATGACACGTAGCAAGCTCTCTACACTCACAATTCCATATCCCCTCCCTCCTGGCCACCACTGCATAGGGGTTAAAGCTGTTTTCCGGCTTCCAGGGAACTGCCGGTAGTAGCGAACGAATGCCACTTGGTCGGCGTAATGTTGTTCGCGTGACACATCCGCGCCAGTGTTCCTGTCACGTCGTGTTGTGGTAACTGTGCGATGCAGCGTAAATATAAGAAGCAGCTTCGCTGGCCATACTGTACTATCACCGTTGTCGTCTACACCATCAATAGTCACATCCGAAAACCATGGCCTCCCGTGGAACGTGGGTGCTGCACGCGCGTACGCTGGGTATTTGCTGTAGCGTGTGAAATCGTCATCAGGTGGAAGTGCAACACCCTTGTGCAGGTCCAGGACCGTCTCCCATTTCACGCGCGCGCCATGTGGATGCTGCTGCTGTTGCTGATATGCCTGTATGCTGTCGGCGAGGCATCTAAATTCCCCCGGGCATGCCTCGGCATACGCCTTCCATGTGGTGTTTCGGCGCTCGGTGTAGTCGAGTTTCATGTAACGGCCCGTAACCGCTGGTGATCCACTCTCCAGCGCCTTTAGAAAATGAAAGCCCAAGGGGTTGGGGAGGTGTGGAAGAGGCAATAAATAGGAGGAATTGTAGTGGATGATGTAAGGTGGACAGGGAATGGGGGGAGGTGGGTGAGGGGGGATTAGATTTCAAGCACGTGGTTGGGGAGAGTTAGTGAGCCGGCGAGCCCGACGAGCACGTACAGAGGGGGCAGGTGAAACAAGTGATGGGGGTGGGCTGATTCGTGGGGGGGGGTAGTAAAACCAGAGAGAGGGGAGGGCGGATGTGAGAGGGGGAGGGAGAAACCAGAGTCAGGGGAGGGCGGATATGAGAAGTAGATGGAGAAACCTGAGTGACGGGAGGGTGGATGTGAGAGGGGGATGGAGAAACCGGGACGTACATGTGAGGGTGATGGAGAACTAAGTTGCACTAAAGGCGTATGGCATTTTATATGCTAGCGTATATACGCTATACGCTTTTTTGGGGCCTAGAGTACGCTAGGTATACGCTTGTTTGGGCAGGTTAAAATTTTTACCCCGGGCAGGGAAAAAAACCGCGCCTAGGGAGGGGGGAAAAGGGGGAATGTAGTGTGAGGCATAGATTTTCATTGCAACATATAATGTAACAGAGAACAAAGTTAAGCCTTTAAGGCATAAGTAACTGACATGTCAAGGTTTCCCCCAAAGCCCCTTCCCTTCCCTCAGCCAAGTAAGTACTACCCCGCTAACACACTCCCACGTCCCCCATCTCCCCCAAGTGCATGATTGCCAAACCTGCAGCACATCCCCCTAACCCTCAGCCTCCTCCTCCTCCTCGGCCTCCTCCTCCTCCTCCTCCTCCTCCTCCTCCCCATACTCATCATGCAGTACTGCCTCATCCTCCAGCTCATCATCCACCAGCTCCCCCTCCGCATCCACATTGTAGCCTGCCGGGGTGGGGGGCTCTGGGATGTTCCCGGCGAGCACCACCCTCTCCTCTCCGCTGGAGAGGTGCCAATTGTGCACAACGTTCCAGTTGTGCGCAACGTACACCAAGTCCCTGCATTTTTCTGGTCCGAGCCGGTTACGACGCGCAGTGTGCACCGACTCCCACACCGCCCATCCGTGCTCGCAGCTGGCGGCAGATGCCGGCTGCGTGAGCACACGGCGCGCCAGCGTTGCAAGCGCGGGACAATCGGTGCCATGCCACATCCACCATTCCTCAATTGTCATCGTCCCCGGCTTCACGTCCGCCCTTTGCTCGATTGCAGTAGGCATACCAAAGCTCCCCCTCATTTTCAAGAACGCCGTGACCCCTTGCTGCAGAACAACTGCCGCGCTCTTGCCATTCACATCCTTCCTTGAGATGGTGATGCTCTTGCTGTAGTCACTGATAAATGCCTTGAAAAGCTTGGTGCACTCAGTGTTTGGGCCAAAAATCTTCTCTGTTTGGTTGGCCGGATTGAGGATCCGGCCAACCGCATCCATGGGGCAAGCCATGCTTTTGTCCCACCACTTCTGCAGGATCTTTGTGATCCCCTTCTTGTCGGCTGGCCGCAGCTGCCCATCATCCTTTTTCAGCAAGCCATGCATATCCTTGGTAAGCTTTAGCATGAGTTCATAAATGTTCCCCATCATCCCCTTTGCCGACGAATCAGTTGCCCACATGATGTTCTTCGGCAACTTCAACAGCTTCACGAAGAACTCTGCTGTAGCCCACCAAGCCCGGTCCAAGATGATGCTATGGATCTTATCGGCCGTCTCCTTCTGATTTGCAACCGCGCATGCCTTCCACTGCTCGCACGACACCAGCTGCGCTAGCTTCTCCCTTAGCTTGACAAGCCGGGAAACGGCTATGTATTGAGTGCCGAACCGAGTGCCCGCCGGCTTCAACATCTGCAGCACCTTGCCGCCTGGCTCCCCCGCCTCCCGGAGGTAATTCCACGTCCAGTGGTGGTTGCGTAAGTAGGTAATGACTTCGTTTGCGCGGAGGACAACATTCTTTGCCCACGGCTGCTTCCCGTGGTCCTCCATCATCAGGTCCATCACGTGGGTGGCGCACGGAACCTGCTGGATGTGCGGATGCTCCTGGATCAGAACCCGGCAGGCCTTGCCGTAGTTGCTTCCGCCATCCATGCAGAGTGCGACCACATTCTCTGGTCCGACCTTCTGCAGGATGGGGCGCAAGAGGCCGACGATGTAGCCACCGGTCTTGCTCTCCATCCGGCAATCAATGCTCTCCACGAAGACAGCTCCAGAGTCGTTCACAAGGAGGACATTCGCCTGTGGTCGGCCATTCCGGTCAGTCATCATGTCGGAGGCAATCGTCACGCCGATGCCTTCCCAAGTCTCCCGAAATGGTTGCACGTCGATGCCCGTGCGGACAGCCTTCAACCCTGCACCGCCAATGTAGTTGCGGTTGGGAGGCATGTAGGTAGGTCCGGCAGCACCGATTGCCCGCACTGCATTGAGGAAGAGCGGGTGGCGGACGTGGTGCTTCGGGATGCGAGGCCGGCGAACATAAGACACAACGCCTCGTCAGCCTCCTTCCGCGCAAGTGCAGCCTTGTCGCCAAAGAAATCAGTGATATTGGCGCGTCTCCCCCCCCCCCTTCCTCCGACAGCAGCAACTGCTGCATCTGTTGCATTCTGCGTTGACACCATAGCCTGCCCTTTTTTCTCATATAGAGTGTGTATTTCATCACGGACCTTCTTTGGCGCCGCCACGCACAATGCAACCTCGCGACGCCTCATATTATCCCACCCAGAGAGATGCTGTGCACACCTGATTGGCATGCCACTAAAAATCGCCACACAAAACCTGCACTCGTACCTCTGCACGCCTCCACCAGGCTGAGGAAGCAAGAGCTTGAAGTGCTTGTAAACCTCATGAGTACTATCAGGGGCGTACTTGTTAGACGACCCGGAAGCTGCTGCAGCTACGACTGGAGGATCCTGGGGGTTCGACATTGCGCTGCCTAAAAAACAACTCGACGCGGTGCTCCCTAAGGTTTGATCGTAGCTGAATCTGCCGCCTAACGCAGTTGGTAAGTTACGAGATCTGGTTTAGGTATAGTGTGTTTGGTGGTAGAAGGACTCAGTGCACGTTTTAGGTTTGGTTGGGATAGGTAGATGCCTTGGGGTGCAGTGCGGTTGGGGGGTGCAGATTGGTTGGAAGTTGGTTTTGGGCGAAAATTTGGCGATAGTGTGGCTGACTTCGCCACGTCGTGAAGTGGCGATCGTTTTTTTTTTTGCTTTTTTCGACGGGCTGCCCCTGAAATTTCAGCCGAGCATTTTGCGTTTATACGCGCGTATAGCGTATAGCATACATACGTAGCGTATATACAACAAACGCTGAGGATTTCGAGCGTTTAGTGCAACTTAGATGGAGAAACCACAATGAGCGGAGGGTGGATGAGAGAGGGGGATGGAGAAACCAGAGTCAGAGGATGGTGGATGTGAGAAGGAGATGGAGAAACCTGAGTGACGGGAGGGCAGATGTGACCAGGACGGCACAACCAAGCAGTAGGTGAAATGAGGGGACGGGAACACATGATGGGGGGGAGGGGGGAAAAAATTACGAGGCGGTGGGGGAGGGGATGGCGAATAGTCAAATATGCGGACGACACGTGCAACAGCTACATCGGCCTACTCCCCTGAATCCCACCTTATACATCCGCAATCACCTAACCCACCTGTTTCATAGCAACCGTTCGTGCCTCCTTGTCCTCCACTCCATCCTCAGTTGCGGTCATCGAGTCGATGAGCTCAGTGATTAAGCAACGCCGAGTGATAGATGCCTCCGCGTTGCGCTTGTTGGACGCCCTGTACGGCCGCTTGACCAGGGCAATGTGGATGTGCTCGTACAAATCGGAGCAATAATGAACGGGTATACCCCCGCGGCGGATGTCGTCGGCGACATGCAGCATTGCATGGATCTTCGGTATATTGAACTCGGAACTTTGCTCGTCCTTGAAGTTCTCGACCAATAGGGGGACGAGCCTGCAAGTTGGGCATGCATGCGAGAGGAAATGATTAGGGCATAGAATGGTGGAATGGAAAAGCTTAACACAGGACACACATCCTAGTTGGCGTGCAAGGAATACTCACTTCTGCGTTATCTTCTCAAGGTCACGTAAAGTGTTCTCAGTGTGGTATGTCCGATGCCATGCCATAGCGTGCCATGTGCAGAACAACTCAACTGTGTTGACTATCTCGAGACTAACATTTTGTCGCATCAGAAGAACGGGTAGAACCTGCATAACTGCTTGATGTTGAAATGCGTGGAAAGTTGTGTTGCCACTGAAGTAGCCATCGGTGTGTGCCGGTAATCTGAAGAATGATTGTCGACTAAACGCCGTGACGTTTGCTAGATCCGAGTCTAGCTTTGCCAGCACCTCATTCGACAACCTCTGCTTTAGGCAGCCTAGGATGTGCTTGTATACACCTAGACTGCTCATGTGCATGAGGTCAACCATGAGAGATCGATATGGGTTACCGAATGGCTCGCCGTTGTGCTCGAAACCCCATAATGCACAATGAACACCGTGTGTGCTGTGCTTGACCTCAACATCGCTGCGAGCGGTCTTACCCTGAGTCCCTAGAATCTCCTGCACGAAACCTAACTGTTCAACTTCCGTCCTATATCGTATCGGGTGCAGCATGTTGCTGAGCTCTGTGTTGGGGACTGTGCACTTAGGGCAGGGGAACGCAGTGCTGACGCCCGACTTTGTTCCGGCCACCTTGCACTGTTCAGGGTAGTCACCCACATACGCATATGTGGCCGGATGCACCCACCGCTTGATGCCCCAGGGGTCGATCATGTATTCACCCCTGAAAATACAATGAGGGGGTGTGGCAAACACAGGACAGAGAAGGGAAAGACATGGGTTGGGGTAAACAGGGGAGGGGGGTGGGGAAAACAGGTGGGAGGGGTAGAAGAGGAGTGGGAGCAAAAAACAGGTGATTGAGAGGGCGACAAGCATGAGAGGGTGGGCTGAACATGGGATGGAAATAGGTTAAACACGAGAGGTAAGGAAAAACAGGGGATGCCATACGTGTCAAACATGAGGGGTTGGGGTAAACAGGGGAGGGGGGTGGGGAAAACAGGTGGGAGGGGTACAAGAAGAGTGGGAGTGAAAAACAGGTGATTGAGAGGGCGACAAGCATGAGAGGGTGGGCTGAACATGGGATGGAAATAGGTTAAACACGAGAGGTAAGGAAACACAGGGGATGCCATACGTGTCAAACATGAGGGGTTGGGGTAAACGGGGGAGGGGGGTGGGGAAAACAGGTGGGAGGGGTAGAAGAGGAGTGGGAGCAAAAAACAGGTGATTGAGAGGGCGACAAGCATGAGAGGGTGGGCTGAACATGGGATGGAAATAGGTTGGACACGAGAGGTAAGGAAAAACAGGGGATGCCATACGTGCCAAACATGAGGGGTTGGGGTAAACAGGGGAGGGGGGTGGGGAAAACAGGTGGGAGGGGTACAAGAGGAGTGGGAGTGAAAAACAGGTGATTGAGAGGGCGACAAGCATGAGAGGGTGGGCTGAACATGGGATGGAAATAGGTTAAACACGAGAGGTAAGGAAAAACAGGGGATGCCATATGTGTCAAACATGAGGGGTTGGGGTAAACAGGGGAGAGGGGTGGGGAAAACAGGTGGGAGAGGTACAAGAAGAGTGGGAGTGAAAAACAGGTGATTGAGAGGGCGACAAGCATGAGAGGGTGGGCTGAACATGGGATGGAAATAGGTTGGACACGAGAGGTAAGCAAACACAGGGGATGCCATACGTGCCAAACATGAGGGGTTGGGGTAAACAGGGGAGGGGGGTGGGGAAAACAGGTGGGAGGGGTACAAGAGGATTGGGAGTGAAAAACAGGTGATTGAGAGGGCGACAAGCATGAGAGGGTGGGCTGAACATGGGATGGAAATAGGTTAAACACGCGAGGTAAGGAAAAACAGGGGATGCCATACGTGTCAAACATGAGGGGTTGGGGTAAACAGGGGAGAGGGGTGGGGAAAACAGGTGGGAGGGGTAGAAGAGGAGTGGGAGCAAAAAACAGGTGATTGAGAGGGCGACAAGCATGAGAGGGTGGGCTGAACATGGGATGGAAATAGGTTAAACACGAGAGGTAAGGAAAAACAGGGGATGCCATACGTGCCAAACATGAGGGGTTGGGGTAAACAGGGGAGGGGGGTGGGGAAAACAGGTGGGAGGGGTACAAGAGGAGTGGGAGTGAAAAACAGGTGATTGAGAGGGCGACAAGCATGAGAGGGTGGGCTGAACATGGGATGGAAATAGGTTAAACACGAGAGGTAAGGAAAAACAGGGGATGCCATATGTGTCAAACATGAGGGGTTGGGGTAAACAGGGGAGAGGGGTGGGGAAAACAGGTGGGAGGGGTAGAAGAGGAGTGGGAGCAAAAAACAGGTGATTGAGAGGGCGACAAGCATGAGAGGGTGGCTGAACATGGGATGGAAAAAGGTTGGACACGAGAGGTAAGGAAAAACAGGGGATGCCATACGTGCCAAACATGAGGGGTTGGGGTAAACAGGGGAGGGGGGTGGGGAAAACAGGTGGGAGGGGTACAAGAGGAGTGGGAGTGAAAAACAGGTGATTGAGAGGGCGACAAGCATGAGAGGGTGGGCTGAACATGGGATGGAAATAGGTTAAACACGAGAGGTAAGGAAAAACAGGGGATGCCATATGTGTCAAACATGAGGGGTTGGGGTAAACAGGGGAGAGGGGTGGGGAAAACAGGTGGGAGGGGTAGAAGAGGAGTGGGAGCAAAAAACAGGTGATTGAGAGGGCGACAAGCATGAGAGGGTGGGCTGAACATGGGATGGAAATAGGTTAAACACGAGAGGTAAGCAAACACAGGGGATGCCATACGTGTCAAACATGAGGGGTTGGGGTAAACAGGGGAGGGGGGTGGGGAAAACAGGTGGGAGGGGTAGAAGAATAGTGCGAGTGAAAAACAGGTGATTGAGAGGGCGACAAGCATGAGAGGGTGGGCTGAACATGGGAGGGTATTTGATCAAACCGGTGAGGTAAAGAAGGACATGGAATGCCAATAGTGTCAATCATGAGGAGGTGGGGAAAAAATGGGATGGGGATTGGGGAAACAGGGGGAAAAGGGTAACACATGAGGGGGAGGACAAACAGGTCGTAGAGAAGGTGACACCTAAATGGGGGATACCTAAATTGTCATTCATTAGGGGATGGGGGAATCAGATGCTGGGGACACGTAAAAGAAGTGGGAAGTGGAATCCTGGTGGGGGAAAGAACCTGAGGGGTTGTGGAAAGAACCTAAGGGGTTGTGGAAAGAGGGGGGAATACGGAAACATACCCTGCTTTCAAAACCTTCTTTTGCTCTTCAAGGATCAGACTCAAGGACTCTTGGAAGACCTCATGCCGTCTCCTTGACTCCTCTCCTTTTGCAAAAGTCTGCTTGTCGATTTCAGGCAACAAAGCACACAACCGATGGCCGTGCGATCGCCACCGGTTTCCAGAGGAGATGTTACCCAAGGATATGTAAACGGGCCAGCCACAAACGCCACCATCAGTGGTGAGGGTCGTCTCATCTGAGTACATGATCACTGCTGCCACAGATCCGCCCACTGGCAACTTTCTCTGGAGCTCTCGCCACCAAGATCCTGTCTCCGGCCCCTTGTAGATTATCTTAGCACCTTCAGGTAATTCAACAGGCTTGGCGACAAAGCCCTCCCTATTTGCCGGATTCTGGTACAGCCCCCTAACGCAGGACATACTTGAACGGTAGTAGAGGTTGACATCCTTCAAATCCCCACCCTTACGCAAGTTCTTCACTATAAACTTCTCTAAGTCTGCTTCCGAAGTCCTTTCCTCCTCGAACCTGTCAAAGTCAGCCATACTTCTCAGACTAACACGGCCAGGTGCCTCTATCGCCTGAATCACAATGCTCAACAACTCCTTGATGTCTGCACGAGAGAGGCCTGCTCCACCAGTAGCTGTCTTGCAAAACCTGTAAAGCCTGCTGTCAAGGTCAGCGAGAGACGTGTCCGCTCTCGGTGAGAAGTCATACCCTGTAGTGTCCTCGTTAAGTTGTGCTGCTTCTGGATGTGGAAGTGGCCTGTTCATGCGGTCCTCCCTAGCTGCTGATCTCCTCTTTCTGCTACCGGACTCCAATGCTTGTCCAACTTCCCTCAAAGAATCCGCGTACTCCTGTTGTATCTGCCCCAGGTCATCAGAACGAACAAAACTAGGTTCTGCCCGTGGATATTTGTGCAGTCCCCGTCTATTGTGCCGAGTTTTCTCTCGGATATCCTTGAAGGTGGAGATACAACCAGCGTGGTCACACTGGAATGGACCACTCTGGTCTGCCATGCCTCCCAAATGTTGCACAGAATCCTTCACTATAAAATGAGTACAACAGGAGCGGTAAGAAAAACTCAGGTACAACAGACAACGCCGCTTCACTGCTACGCAAACCACGCCACCAAAGAATCTGCTGCTGTCTTCAAAGCTTGCATGAACGAGCCGCTCTTCTGCTACTTCGGTTGTGGCGTGCTCGCTGCCTGCAGAAATATAACCAGCCAACGGAGAATCGTTAGCGCGAGCTGTGATAAAAAAAGTTGGAGAGTATGCTAATCTTCTGCTGATGCGCATCTATCGTGAAGAAACACCAGCATAGCTTAAACGGTACAACTGGAGATAAAGCGCGACCTAGAACTGACGACGCCACTGTAATGAATAAGTAACAAAACGCACCTTACCGGACGGCCACGTAATTTACAGGAACGATGCCTAGCGCGAGATAAGCTGGCGCAGGAGATCGAACAAGAGAAACTAAAGCGAAGAAACGGCGACGAAGGAACAAGCAGCAGGAGCACGAGGGCGAGGTGCACCAGGAGTACTTTTTGCAGAGGGGCTAATGTGGTTGGCGAGGCATGCAGTTGCATTTGCGCGTGGTGCTGCGTGGTGCATCGTCACGTCACATTCCATCCGACGGCGTCAGTCAAATTATCGGTGAGCGTCAGTTTTGACGGAGGCTCCCTCCTGTGATTCTGACGCGCACATTTTACGTAACAACACCCACGTTTCCGATAGGTTCGAAAGGTGTGTCGACCTATCATTGGTCGACAATTGCAAATGATCCACCTGACTAACAAACGAGATTTGGACCCTGGGCAGGTGACTACACATTTCGTCAGCGAATTGAGTCGAAGGTTCATTGCACAGCTGTCAATACACCAACATGCTGCTACTGTTCACATTGAACCCACCACTATAGAAGATGGTTATTCGTTATTTGCACTGCATCCGAAGCATGGTTCATACAAACATGAAATGTACTACGCACGGGGGCCCAAAAACGAATAACGCGTCTAGCACAAAGCTGAAGATGCATCTGGCTGCCCAGCGCGAAACATGGATGTTGAGATCCTGTGTTTTTACTGCCCCACACAACTTCCTACCCCCTCGCAACATGCCCACGTCACTTTATCCCAACTCGCTGGGAACTGTCCCAACCACCCCTGGAAACCCGTACTCGCCAGCAAGAAGTTGGGCTGTTGAAAACCCCCACCCCATGTTTTGCGATGCGGCTGTCCTCTCGCTACCCGTGGCGGCGTCCGACTGGCAGCAGCGCGCGGGCTGGTGGCTGCTGCACGCGGAGGCGCGGCTCGACGCGTTCCTCGAGAATGCCGACGCCGCCACCGTCGACGCGCTGCTCGCCGCCCTCCCCAACGCCTCGCTTCCCCGCAACAGCGGCCAGGGCAGCGGGAATGGCAGTGCGCGGGGCGCGGGGGGCGCGCGGAACGGGCAGGGCGGGAGGCGCATGGGGCTGGGGATGGGGCGGGAGCTGCTGATGCGCGCAATGGGCAAGCAGGCGGGGAAGAAGCAGGGCGGGCAGCAGCAGGGGGGAGCGCAGCAGCCGCCTGCAGGTGGCTTTTCAGGTGGATTTCCAGGTGGCAATGGCGGAGTGAACAGCACAGTGAGCGGGTATGCTGTGCTGGCTGGCAGCAGCGCAGCAGGTGTGACGTGGGGCGGGCAGCTCATGGGGGCCAAGGTGCCTGCTGCCGCTGTTGCTTGACATCCTCCTGCCGTCCATGTGGGGTTTGGCTTGGTACAGCTGTAACGTGATACAAGCTCCTCAGGCTGATGCTGCTGCTGAGCTGGGTACGGTGCTTCAAGGAAGAGCGGGAGTTGAGGGCTTCTCGTCCTCTTGCCTAGGGGCCGTGCTTTGTCTCATGTTTGAAGTAGGCTAGTAGGTAAGAGCATCAGGGGCAGGAGTGCTGGCAATTCCACAACTGACTTGCCAGTCTTCCTACCCCTGATTGTTTGATATGATGAGTGTGTTGCCATCTGTTTTATGTGAAAGTAACCATGCCATTCCACTGTTTGTGCTCGGTTTGACTAACGGCGCCGAATGAACCAAGCTGCTGCCCACGAAGCGATGACTGCGAGGGGCTAGCTTGCGCTGTGACTCTTGGGCTGTCCAACAGATGCCCGTCCTGCCCTGTCTGGTGTGTCTCACGTCACTCCCCTACCATCGGTTGTCCCGCTCGAGGAGTCGTCTGACTCTTGTGGCCCCACGGCTCCGTTCTCGCCGCCGGTCTCCGCCTGAGTGTCTCCTCCTCCGCTGACGCCGCAGCAGCTGCCGTCGCCACCGCAACAGCAGCTGCAGTTGCCACCGCAACAGCAGCTGCAGTTGCCACCGCCGCAGCCGCAGCAGTCGCTGCCGCGTCCACAGCCCCAATCGCCGCCGCTGCAGGGGTCCACGGGTCCTGTGGGTGGCACTGATGGTGGAGAGTGTTCTTGTTCTGGGGGTGCTGGCCTGGAGCTTCTCGGAGGTAGCCGTGGCGCAACTGAAGGTTCTGGTGTCGGCGTGGAGCCACAGCAACAGCAGTCGCCACCAGTGTCGGCCCTTCATCTTCTCTCTCTTCCTTCCCCCGACCCCCCGCCTGCGCCTCCTTCGCCACCGCCTCCCCTGCCTGTCTACGGCCCTGTGTTTCCTCCGCCGGACTCGTCTCCGGCTCGTTTCCCCCCTCGTTCCCCTCCTATGTCTCCTCCTGTCTCCTGACCCAATGCCTCCATCTCAACATCTAGTCTCGCCGTCCCTCTCGTGCTCGTCCTGTCTCTCCTGTTCCCCGCTCTCACCCTATGTTGCTTCGTTCTCACGCGTCTCGTCCTTCACTCCTCCCGTCGCCTCTTCCGTCGTCGCTTGTTATCGCGCTGCCTTCTTTCTCTGATTTCCTTTGTGCTGCTAGTCTTGTTGTTCCTCGGGTCCTTGCCTCCCTCGTTACCGACCCGTCTGATCCTGTCTCTCGTTTTGACGCGCTTGTTGCTGCCGTCGTTGACTTTGCCACTACCCGCCACCTTGACTATGCCACAGCACTTGTCTCTGACCCTGCCTGTACTCCGTCCGTCGGGGGTGCACCTAGCCTTGGCAGTGACGTCCTAGAGGACATGCAGTACAAGTTAGTTTTCCTGACTGAGGCTGCGTCTCATCTCTTCTCCATGCTGCTAGACCTTGAGGGTGACCCAGACGCTCTCGACATCCCGACCCCTCGCATCTATGCTCAGACGACCTCGGGACCCGGGGCCTCCCCAGTGGATAGCTGCCATAGAGCAGTAGATGGCATCTTGGAGATCCACAGGCACCTACGTCGACGCATTTCCTCCACCTGGGGTGAACGTAGTCGATGGCCGGTGGATCTTCAAGGTGAAGCGCCCTCCTGGAGAGCTGCCTTTGTTCAAGGCGCGCTCCGTGGCTAGAGGCTTCAGTCAGTGAAGAGGTGTTGACTTCTTTCAGACGTTTGCCCCGACCCTGACGATGACCACTCTTCATGTGCTGCTATATGTAGCAGCACAGCGTGACTACGAGCTGCACTCTCTCGACTTCTCTACAGCGTTTCTTCACGGAAGTCTGCACAAGCAGGTCTACCTGCATCGCCCGCCAGGTTTCACTCGCTCGTTCGCCCCAAGGACCGAGTGGCTGCATCGGCGCCTGGTTTACGGCCTGTGGCAGGCACCCCGCGAGTGACACGACATGCTGCGTGCTACCCTTGCTGACCTGCAGTTCATCCCATTGTCTGCAGACCCCTCGCTCTTCGTTCGTTCTCGCCAGACCCCGTTCTACATCCTTGTCTACATAGACGGCGTGGTCTTCGCTACTACAGACAGAGAAGCACTGGCCTCCGTGAAGGCTCAGCTGTTGAGGAGACACACCTGCAATGACCTCAAAGAGCTGCGCCGCTAGCTTTGCCTGCAGATCTCCTAGGACAGATCATCGTGCACCATCACTTTTACATAGTCACACTTGGTGCGCCAGGTCCTTCAGAGGTTCGGCCTTCAGTTCTCTTCTGTACAGCCCACGCCTCTGCCAGTAGATCATGGGCTCTTGGCTCAAGTCCCAGAGGAGTCTGTAGAGCCTAGTGGTCCGTACGTAGAGCTGGTAGGTTGCCTCATGTACCTGATGACTTGCACTCGTCCAATTCTCGCATACCCTCTCAGCATCCTGGCTCACTTTGTGGCGACATGCATACACCGACCACAGCACTGGTTGGCCGCTAAGAGGGTTTCGCGTTATCTAGCAAGTACATCGGGCATGGGGTTAGTGCTACGAGGACGCAGACCAGTGGTCTTGACACGGCACACACAGACGCTTCGTGGGCAGACGACGCTGAGACGCTCGGGTCCTCCCAGGGCTACTGGTTTAGCCTTGGTGCAGGGGCCATCTCTTGGAGGTCCACCCGCTTGTCATCTGTTGCACATTCTAGCTGTGAGGCTGAGATCTACGCTGGTGCCATGGCGGCACAAGAGCTCCGCTGGCTGTTTGTCTTGCTCATTGACTTAGGTGAGCAGCCTAGCTTTGCCCCAGTCCTGCACGCTGACAACAGGGCCATGATCCTTCTGTGTTAGGAGCCTCGACTTGTGGGCAGAGCGAAGCACATCCAACTGTGGTACTTCCTCCTGCACGAACAACAGGAGCGCCGCCAGGCTCGCGTAGTTCACTTGGCCTCCGGTGCCAACACAGCTGATATATTTACTAAGGCGCTTGTGCCTAAATATCATCACCGACACTGTGTACAGCTAGGTCTAGTTCCTGTAGCTTCACACTTGCTAGGGCCTTGATTGTGTACTACTCTTATTATATTCTCCTGATTGGCCTTGTGGCCTCTACTCCAGTGGCAAGCCTAGTAGTGCCACCCTGGTTTGCTCTTGTCGTGTTTTTACTCTCCTGACTGGTCTCGAGACCCTTGTCTCAGAGGTTGGACTAGTAATGCCACCCTGAGTTGCGTGTCTATTGTCCGGCACTACCCCTTGTCTAACCTAGGGTGTGTGTCAAACATATATGCAATATGTTAGTATCGGCTAGCTAGGTGTATGCCTTTAGAGAGTACAACCCATTAGGTAAAAGCACTCTATACTGTTGTTTCTATTCATATCGCTACTCTGAAGCATTTTAACCATGACATGGTATTCTCTTGTAGCACTTATTGACTTCACAAAACACAGCCCTCTAAACACATTTCACCACTGGGCATTATGTTAAATTTTAAATATATATCATTGTAGGCGTGGTAGGTGTTACTCAATCCTCCTGTAGAGGGTACAACCCCCTTCTTGTATCCCTCTCTCTTCTAGTCCAAACTCTCTTCTCTCTCGATATTTTCTCCTGGTCTAAACCTCTCGCTAATTTCTTATGCCTAGCTCATAACCTAAGCTATCGTTAGATGGTATCAGAGCAGGCCCTTCTGCTCGGGCCTTCACCTCACCCTTCCGCAACGTCCTCTCCTCATTTACGCGCAACCGTGGCAGCCATGTCGTGCTGCCATGGGGGCTTCGTGGTGCTGCCGTGGCAGCCTCAACACGCTGCCGTGGCGTCGACGCCACGCCTTGGCGGCGTTGTCATGCTGCTGTGGCAGCATCGACGTGCTGCCGTAGCAGCGACGCTGCGCCGTGGCGGCGTCGTCGAGCTGCCGTGGTGTCGTCGACGGGCGGCAGCTGGCCGCGCAATGTTTTAGCGCCTGCCAGCTCGCCTGCACGCCAGCCAGCGCCACGCCACCATGGCGCCTCGCTGCAGCTTCGCTCCCCCCTCCTCTGCATTTCCCTTTCTCCCCGCCGCAGCCGATGGCTGTCTTGCCCCATGCGGCCCCGTCGTTGCTGAGCCGGGCCACGCCGCCAGGTGCCCCGGCCTCCGTCGCCGCCGCCGCCGTCGAAGTTGCCGCCGATGCCGCAGGTGCCGCTGGCTCCACCGCCACCCCCGTTGCAGCCGCCGCTGTTGTCGTACCATCGTCGACGCCGCCGCCGCCGTCGCCGCCACCGCTGCCCTCGCCGCTGACGTCGCCGCCTCGCACGTTGTGAGGTCGACTGCTGCTCACGAAGCCACCGCTGCTGCAGGGCATGGGGGTGCAAGGGTTTTGGGGGTGCTGCGTGTGTGGTGTGCTTTCGGCTACCAAGCCTAGGGGTTGTGTTAAATTATATTATACATATATATATAATTGTAGGCTTGGTAGGTGTTACAGGATCCTACTGTAGAGGGTACATCCCCTTTCTTGTATCCCTCTGTCTTCTAGTCCAAACTCTCTTCTCTCTCGATATTTTCTCCTAGCCTAAACTTCTCCCTACTTTCCTATGCCTAGCTCCTAACCTAAGCTACCTTGAGACATTACACTACCAGTATTTGTCAAGCTAATGAAATAGAAAGCGTTGCATTTGCATCACATACTAAATACTCACCCATCCTCTGATATTTTAGCAAGTGTAATGAAGCGCAAAGAGCGCACAGTCGTGGCTCGGCAGAGTTACGACGTGTGGTTCATAAATTGGCGTGAAGCGCCCAGATCTAGGCATGAAACAGCAGGGCGGGAAAAATGTATGCGGCTTGTCAGAAGGTCACATTTGGGTACCGCAAAACCCGTTATAGCAGTGCACGCCTTACTTAATAGAACCATTGATAAGGAAATACCATTTTGTAAGGAATTACGATTCCTTACTGGGGCTCGCCACAGCGAATACACACGAACCTCTCGGTTCCGCAGGCTCGGCCCTTGGTTCTCGCGCCAAACCAGCCCCTGTCGACCTTTTCGGCCCCAACCTGATCCCGAGTCGCCCCGAACCCATTTTGTCCCTGTCACCCTCAGGACTATCGAGCCCTTGTCAGGCCCAACCTTCGACATTCAACCTGGTCAACTCACACCTATATATTGCCTAGGCCTCATTATTCTAGAGGATTCTATAATCACTTTCCCTTATA